TGTTATTTTCCTCTAATTGGAAAAGACCTTATGTCAGAAAATCGAAAAGTCTATACACTTGCAAAGGTTGTTATACGAAAATCTTGTTCACATAAAAATCAAGCACAAGTGCAAAAACCTATTGCGGATAGTCACACAAATTCCACCGAGGATAAAAACAGAGAAAGTAATAGTATGACGTAAGATGTGCTTTGATCAATATTGTTTAAATATAAATATTATTTTCAAACTTGTATGTTTTTTTATAAATAAATATAAATAAATGAGTATCGCATAAGGATCCTTCAATAATATTTAACGTTAATTTGTATTTAAGATATTGTTCTAAAGCGGGACAGAATATTTTTTACTTTTTTTATTTTTCGCTTTGACATATTGTAGACTAATTTGTAAAGCGTGAAATTCATCATTTCCCTTTAAAGACCCAATTATGAGTTATAGTATACGAATGATATATTATGCGTATGTGTTATTATAGTAGAAGTAAACTTTTATTTGTTGATTGGTGAAGAAATCTTTAATATCCAATAAATATCACTCTCGTGTTCATGTATATTCTATTTTAGAGTAACATTAATGCATTAAATATTCACAAAACAATGTCAAAAAAAAGAATTCCCTCGATATGTTCAAGCGTGCGGAAGAAGTAAGGGGCTAGAAAAGCGTTTATTTCTTTTCAAGTTAAATAATTGTACTTGATTGCGCGAGCAAGAGCTTAAATTTTTAATTTGATTTAATTTTGATTTCTTTTTGGTAATTTTGGGAGAGCAGGTTTTCAGCATAAGAACGGAAGATATCTGACGTACAGCGTTGATGGTAGGGTGCATTTGACAGAAGTATGATTAAGTTTTATTATACTGTAGGAATAACACGCCACTACTGTTGTGAACTTAACTTTCCAAAAAGACGAGAAAAAGTTTAGGCGTTTAGACGTTTAGACTACGGATGATGATCATTACTCCGGAAAATAAAGTAGTTTAATATTCCAATAATGTCTTATGTTTTGGTTAGATTGCTCATTTTAATTTTTTTTATTTTTAGTTACCTGGAAGTATGAAACCAGAAGGTCCTTTTACTTCCTTTGGGTTTGTTATCAATAAAAGTTCAGAATCTTATTTATTTGTAAAAGGCGTTAATAAATCAGAAAAAATTAAAAACATACATGAACGAATCCATCCTACACGCTAACCCTTTGTTGAGACATCTACTCACGAAATATTATCAATTCTTGTGCTCTATGATAGAGGCGTTTGGTTTAAATGTACTAGAGTCAATTCATAGAGAATGTATGCCAAGATTATATTTTTAACTAGACATAGATGTCGAGAATGTGCACAGAAATGTGGTTAAAACTTGTTTAATGATGATTCACTTGATGTAATTTGCAACAGCAAAAATTTAATTGTTTAAACTGGATAAATATATGTAGTAATCTTTGATAACCGTGAAGTTCTAAAAATGTGTCAGCAATTTCAGAATATAGCAGAGCCCTATAAAATTTTCCATCTTGTTCAATATAAATAATTATTGTAGTACAATTAAAATAAATTACAATAAAAGCATATCAATGGAAAATGATTTAATTTAGAGAATCAATTGAAGAGAATATTTAAATTGAAGTTATAAATTTAAAATTTAAAAATAATGTTCCGTTCACATTTCAAATGTCCAAATTGAAAACTATACAGTAAAAATATTCTCATGTGTTCATCTGGACGAACATTGAATAAGAAATGATGTTATCCGTATAATAACATTACGACTGTAAATTTCGTGGCGGAATGGTCTACCATTCAAGATCCCACCGCGCATTATACCTAATTGATTTCAAATAATGTTAAGACTTTTATGAATGGCCATATTATTTCAAGATTCAAGAATAGTTACACATGAAAATGAGAAGAAAAAAAAAGAATTATAGAACGCCAATAATATATTTTTGAGACATACATGTAAATAATATTTTTAAATAATATCCTGGGAAACGGCAAAATAAATGAAAATATTGCAATCATTCGTCATTGTCAATTTATAACTTTGTTTAAAAGTATTATTGATTAATAAGAACAAAAATTAAAAGTGTATACCAAATTTTATTATAACGAGATATAAATATAACCATTATACATATAAATGAAAAAATAATATAAAGATTTTAAAGGTCAAAGTTAAAAGTGGTTTCATATTTTACTCCAGTTTGAACATTTTGAGCTGTAGCTTCAATTTCAATACTACCAAAAGTCAAAGTAAATGCGATAGACCTTCCTTCGTTGTTATATGTTGTTGGTACATTAACACTCCAATTATCAAGTAAGTAAACGCCGTTCTCGTCACAATAGTCTGCATCCACATTCTCTGTAACATATAAATCCAAACCTATGCTGGTTTGTTCTTTGCTATATGGAACATATACTCTTGAAACTTGATGATTAATATCTACTTTTTCACCACGTCTTGCCAATCGATCGAAAATTCTAATTTTTCCATCTGAACGTCTACGATCAATTGGATCCATAAGTGCCCATTGTCGAATGACGTCGGTACCTATGATTTTTGTTTTTTTTTTTTTTTTTTTTGCAAAATACTTGTTAATTGGATAAATTAAAAAAAAAACATGGTGCGAAGGGTAAGGTAAATTTATTTAAATGTTTACCATAAGTCCATTTTAATATACGACTATTCACGATTCCCTGTCTTAACCCAAATTGAACGGCTGGATAAATTTATTGCACAAGTATCAAGAAATTTAAGGAATGCATTATTTATCAAAATAAATACATATATATAAAAAAAGAACGCGCTTATAATTTTTTATATCTCTTACCTCCTTTTTCAATTGCCACCATTGGATTCGCGGGTACAGTTATTTTATCTCGTAATCTATGTTTAAATTCATTTTTGATCCTTTCTTGTAAATATTTAGATTCGCTGAAACCACCAACCAACAATATAAGTTCAACTTCGCTACATTTTTCAAGTTGTCCACGAATTAGACGTATAATTTTTCCTATTACGGGATCAAACATTGATTTAACATCATCAAACGTTAATTCCACCGTCCACTCTTCTTCTTCCATATTTTCAAATTCAACTCCCTTGGAATATTGTTTTATAACTGGACATAACTCTTTTTTATAAAAAAAAAATAAATAAAAAAAGATTTTTGAAAAATTAAAAAAAAAAAAATAAGTAGGAACTTTCAAAGATGAAACGTGATTTCTCACCTTTTAAATCCATTTCGTAGGGTTGAAAATCCGATTCTTTGCCGGTATATTGAATTTTAATTCGTCTACAAAATTCTTGTACCATGTATTGTAATTGACTATAGTGATTTGCCCTGACCATACTAAGTGCCGAACTTCCAACTTTTCGACCAATGAATTTAAGAAATTCATCATCAACAAAACTTCCACCACAGAAATCTCCTTCGCGTTCAGTAATTTCGTCTAATTTATTATCTTTCAAAAGTTTGCGTGTTGTCAAATCTACTGTTCCACCGCCACAATCAACAATCATAAATGATGCTACGTTCATATATAATTTGTAATGGTTAAAAAAAATAAAAATAAAAACCCCAGGATCAGAAAGTGACAATGAAAATTATTACTTACAACCAACGCCAAGATTATGTTCTGTTAGTTTACTCATGCAATAAATCGCAGCAGCTTCAGCTATAAATTAAATAAAGTACAATTAATTATCGATCACGTGATATTGCTTATTCCGAATATTTATCAAATCACGTATGTACGTTCTGTCGTAAATTTCAATTTTCCACTATTCCTCTGGTTGATCAGATCGGCTTTGAATGCGCATTCACGCAAGACTTTCATAGCTTCTTGGCCAAATTCAGCCGGAACCTATTTACAACATATAAAATTGATTATCTTCCCAAAATAAACAAGAATTCTTTTTAAAAAATAAGAATTGATTACGATAAACCCACCGTCATTACAAGTAACACTTGGTTGAAAAAATCTTTGATAGACCACCGGGTATCAAAAGTTTCTTTCATAACTTTACCTATTTCTCTAAGATAATCAGTTATGGCGGTTTTATAATTAATCCCACTTAAAGTGGGTTTGTTCTCCATTTTACCCAAGTGCAATTTAAATCTTTCTACAGGTTTTAGGTTAGATTGTTTATTTTTCCTAGATGGACGTTCTGCCAACGCGGGCAATCCCCATGATAAAAAATTAAATGATTCATCATATTTTAAAACCGTTGGAGTTTTGTAGTAACCAGACAATGACTTCCAAATATCATGTGCATATATATCATTTGGATTTTTTTTATGAGCATAAGCAAATCCCTATAACATTTATTTTTTAAAAAAAAAAAAGTTAGGATGAAATGAAATAACCTAATTTCTTTCCTATTTTAATTGAACTTACAGAATACGTAGTCCCAAAATCTTTTTACATTTATTAATATATATATATATATAAAAAGAATTATTATCAGGATAAATGATTTGCAAAAATTTCAAAATTTTTAATAAAACCAACCTATAGCTGCGACCACGCGAATTTCGTTTGAATTTGTCATGATTAATAAAAAAAAAAAAAAAAAAAAAAAGAAAAAAAGAAATTCAATGGAGTTTTAATTTATATTGATAATGTTCACTTCAATAAACATTTGAATTGAGGGTTCACACACAATAAGCTTTTTTCCCTTACATAACAACTTTAATGGCAAATTTACATGTTCATCAAGTTTTGCCACCATGCATCGCGTAACATTGTTTTCCTACTTTACCAAAAATGCAACAATTATTGTTTTTATTTGGCACATTCCACTCAAGGAAGAACAAAGAACATCCTTTTTCTTTTTGTTTTTAGTATCATTAATTTATTTTTGAACAGAAGATTGTCGATTGATTTTCTAAATCGAATTAATCTATCGTTACTAATATATATAGCCTAATTCTTCCTATCTAACCTATCTGAAATTTATAAGAATTTTTAAATGCATTCTCATTATATTTTAATTTGAAAAAAAAATAAATAAAAAAAAATGACAAACACAACGCATTTTTCTAATGCGGGAAACCATAACAATATTCCCATGGAAATTGATTATGATAATACGAGTTCAGTTTCCGCTAAAAATGATGATACAACTTCAATTTCAACATCATCTGATCCTAATGAATCAAATAATTCTTTACTGAATCGACCAAATAATGACTTGACTTTAAATGCTTCAAATGATATCGATATGATGCTAAGTACCGAAACCAAGTTACAAAATTTGGAACAACAAAACTTAAAGCTTGTCAAAGAATTAGATAAGTCCAAAGTTTATGAAGATAATTTATATAAGACCTGTCAAAAATTGAAACAAGAAATTGAAAGCCTTAGACAAAATCAATCTCATGAAGCTTGTGAAAAGAAATTAAATGAACTAGTCCAGAAAATATCAGAATGTGACAAATCTCATGGAGAAAGTAAATATAATGAAGTACTCAAAGAAACTATGAATTTTCAAGCTTTACAAAATGAATACAATAAACAAAGTGAGAGTATGCGAGATTTACAACAAAGTTACGAACGAAATTACAATGATAAAAATGTACAGTTGCAAGGATTACAACAAAAATTCGACAATCAAACCAAAAATTTGCAAGACTTACAACAAAAATGCAATGATAAGGATGTACAT